TGTTCCTCCTCCTCCTCCTCCTCCTCTTGTTCCTCCTCCTCCTCCTCCTCCTCCTCCTCCTCCTCCTCCTCCTCCTCCTCTTGTTCCTCCTCCTCCTCCTCCTCCTCTTGTTCCTCCTCCTCCTCCTCCTCCTCCTCCTCCTCCTCCTCCTCCTCCTCTTGTTCCTCCTCCTCCTCCTCCTCCTCTTGTTCCTCCTCCTCCTCCTCCTCCTCCTCCTCCTCCTCCTCCTCTTGTTCCTCCTCCTCCTCCTCCTCCTCTTGTTCCTCCTCCTCCTCCTCCTCCTCCTCTTGTTCCTCCTCCTCCTCCTCCTCCTCCTCCTCCTCCTCCTTCACCTCCTCCTGCTCCTCCTCCTGTTCCTCATTTCCTCCTTATCCCCCTCCCTTCACCATCACTCTTTATCACCCACGAAACTCCGCCCCCTTTCTTCCTCGAAGCCCCGCCCCTTTTCACCCTGGAAACCCTACCTCCTTTCGCCCTCGACTCCCCCTCTCACCCCCCCCATCCTTTCCCCCTGGAAACCCCCACTCTTCTCCCTGGAAGCCCCTCCTCACCCCCCCCCCATCCTTTCTCCCTGGAAGCCCCCCCCCTCACCCCCCCCCATCCTTTCCCCCTGGAAGCCCCTCCTCACCCCCCCCCCATCCTTTCTCCCTGGAAGCCCCCCCCCTCACCCCCCCCCATCCTTTCCCCCTGGAAACCCCCACTCTTCTCCCTGGAAGCCCCTCCTCCTCATCTCGCTGTTGTATACTTGCAGGATAACACAAATTTATACATGGTGCTAGAATATGTCCCTGGCGGCGAGATGTTCTCTCACTTGCGTCGTCTAGGAAGATTTAGGTAACTACTAACAGTCTAGCAATTAAGGCTTTATATATTTTATATATTTTTTTTTTATTTATTAATCATCAGAATTATTAATCCGAGATTTTTTTTTTTCTCCCTTTCCTCCGACAACCTGGTTTTTTTTTTCTTCTCGTGTTTCCCTTCCTCTCTCCTCTCTCCCCCTCTTTTTTTTGTGGGTTTCTTTTTTATTTCAGGTTTTCGACGGTTATTGCTACAGCTACTACGGGACCCTCGGCAACGGTTTCCCTTCTCCCCCCCTCTCCTCTCCCTCCTCATACCCCCTCCCCCCCAATCCCCTGCCCCCCCCCCCCCATTCCCCTGCCCCTGTCCCTCTCCCATTCTTGAAGTGCTGTATCGCGGTGACGTCATCATCACACTTACATGATGAAGTGGATATTGTGACTCTTTTTTTTTTTTTTTTTTTTATGTATTCTTAATCTTCCTTTTTTATTTTTTTTTCTCTCTTTCTTAAAAATCAAGGAACGTCCCGCGATCAGGAACACGTACAAATTACCGTAACTTCTCTCCCCTCCCCCCCCCCATCGATGCCCCCCCCCTTCCCCTTTCCCCCCCAAACAACCCCCTTCCTCCCCCCCTCCCGTTTCCCCCTCCCTCCTCCTCCCCCACCCTAACAGGAAATGGTCGCCATATTTAACATCATCCCCCCCCCTCTCACAAAAAAAAAAACAAGAAACCTCCGAACGTGTTTTCGAATTTTCTCTCTCTCTCTGATTTCCAGGATAATTCCAATCTGTACATGGTGTTAGAATACGTGCCCGGTGGAGAGATGTTTTCCCACCTAAGAAAGATTGGCAGGTTTAGGTAAGGCGGGTCATCCGAAACAACACCCCCCCCCCCCAACCCAACCCACCCTCAAAAAAAAAAAGAAAGAAAAAAAATCATTAAAAAAAAATTATCATTTAAAAAAAGATCATAAAAAAAATCATTATTAAAAAAAAAATCATCATTAAAAAAAAAAAATTAAAAAAAATATATATTTAAAAATGTCCCCCCCCCCCCCCACACCTCCTCCTCCTCCGGCTCTTGGAGGGAACGGCACGCAAGGGTACTGCTGCTACTTGGACCTTGCCTCGCGCTCGGTAGAATAGTCGATGTTTTGATTTGATTTGAATGAATTAAAATAGCTTAATTAAGGTCATTGAGAAGACTGGAAGATTTGTTATTAATTTTTTATTATTATTATTGTGATTGTGATGGTTTAGTTTAGTTTAGTTGTTTTTTTTTATTTCCGTTTTTTTTTCTTTTGCTTAAAGATTTTTGCGTTTTTTTAATAGAGTTTTGCGAGTCTTTATTTGTATTTATTATTATTATTATTTATTCTTTGTTTTGCTTTCTTGATAAAGAACGTTTTTTTAGTCACTTTTTAATGATTTAATTTAATGGTTGGTATTTTCCGGTCATTTTAGTTTAGATTTTATTTATTTATTTATTAGAGTTGGCCTTGCAGTTATAGATAGATCATTTTTTTCTAGATGCTTCTTTTTGTTGTTATTATCTGTTTATTTCTCTAATTACTAGTTATGCTTTGCCAGCGCAGGCGAATTTTGAAGAAATAATAGACGCGATTTAGCATTTTTGAATAATATATACAAGTGTTTTGTTAGTTAATCTTTTTAGTCATTGTTTGACATGAGAGAGATTTAACATTTAACCCACAAGAAAAAAAAACGTTTAATCAAACACAAAAACGTAACAGTCCTGTTCTAACTAACGACAATGTCACGTAACTGTCGACCCTTTTTTGTACCCTTGCGTGTGGTTGTCCAAGGTGTGACGTAGTGATGACGTAGCGATGACGTTTTGTTGACGTTTGCGGTGTTGTGCGCTCTTGTGCCCCCTGCCCTCTCCCCAGTTTCTCCCCTCCCCCCTCCACATTTTTCTCTTGCCAGTGAGCTAGTCGTCCCTCTACCCTCCCCCATACCCCCCCTAGCTTATTTGACCTTGCATGGTTTTGGATATTGCCTTCGGTCATGAGGTCACTCTTGCGCTTAACCCGAGACAGAGAATCGGGGAAAAAAATACACCAATTTGGATCTTTCTTTGTCAAAGAAGAGATGAGTGAGTTCATTTTATCTGTCGAGTGTGACCTGTTGACCTGTTTTTTGAAACCCGACCTGGTTCCTAAACACGAGCGTGAGTGTGTATCGCTTCCCTCACACTCCTGCTCACTCCAACCCTCTCTCTCACACTTGCTCCTTGGGTGTAGCTGGAACCGTCACTCTGAAAAGGTGTACAGATCCTTAGTATTGAGATATTTCCTATCTATTTCAAATCAACTTTTTTTTTACATCTTAGAGTTAGTATGACTTTAATGATCCTATTTAATGACGGTAACAGTGTGTCACGCAAATGAAACCAGTGGAGGAGTTATTTCTGTTTTCTCTTGTCTCTCTCTCTCCCTCTCTATCTCTCACCCGCCCGCACGTACCACGAGTTAGCTACTAACAAAAACAGCCCACCTACGCCTACGCCCGTGCCTACCCATGCTATGATTTGTGTGTCGCCCTCTTGTGGGCGTGATCAGGCACGAATACCCCACTTCCCTCACAATACGCTTTTATGCACTAGAGTTAAGGCTGATTGTATGAAGTTTTCTCATATTCCAGACTTTTATCTCATGCTATTTCTCTCTCTCTCTCTCTCTCCCTATCACCTTTTTTAAACACGGGGGAGATATCAGGGTACTTCCTTCTCCCCTGAGGGTATGACTTACACAAACATACAAAGAACACAAAATAAGAAAAAAAAAAAAAAACTCACTCGTCGATAGAAGCCGAATCATTTTTAAGATTGAATAAAGTAGAAAGTTGAGTTAGGAAGGGGATGCTTACTTAAAAAAAACGATAAATGAAGTATTGATATGAATGAAATTTCTTACTGTGTTGAACAAACCCACCCAATAGAAAAGTTTGATGGGTCGATGTGATTAATGGGCTTTGTTGATAACTCTGGTTATTTAGCTTCATTTATAAAGATGTGGGGAAGTTTGGGACACACGGCGATTCTGATATTGATGTGGATATTATTGTTACTTTGTACCCGAGCCAAGCATTGTATTTGTAAGGCTTAGGATTTTTTATTAGAGGGATATAGGGACACACACACACACACACACACACACACACACACACACACACACACACACACACACACACACACACACACACACACACACACACACACACATTTACACGTACCGCTGTCCGACCTTGCATGAAAGCTTATAAACAACAGAATTTCAAAGTCTTTTTTTTCCTAGTACCACATATGTTGATGGTAACACGTCAGTCTGAAGAGAAAAGAAAAAAAATAGAGCAGTTAAACTTCCTTCCGAGCCACACCTGTTCAATACAACATCTGGGACTATCCTTAACGTAATGAATGAATTGCACTGAAGTTATTTTTAGAGTAAACGCGATTTACGGTTTCTTCAGGTGTTTGTATGTGCGGATGTGTGCTTGAGACAGCATGATAATGATTCACAACTGCGTCGAAACATGAGCTCTATATTGTACACCTGTACCGGACAAGGTTACAGCTGTACCTTGCTCACCTGTGCCCGCCCAATCACCTACCTCATTGCCTGTACTACAGCAGGTGGTGCGTCTTTATCCACCTGCTCGAAGCTATTTAAGCAGGCTCCTCGCATATCCTTAAAGACAAAAAAACAAAAAAACAAGCACTGGGTTCTAGTACAGCGAACCTTGTTGTAAACTCTAGTCTCCCTTTTTTATAAATAAAGTCCACTTACGTAAGGACGTGGCATAAGTCCATATGATGTTTGTCCTCTTTTATTTTCGTTTATTTATGCCTTGCTTGTAATGCCCAACCATCGGCTTTGCACCAACCGATGTCTTCCTGACCTCAAAGAAATGGAGCAAATATTTTTTTTAACTAGTGTAACCTACCCCCATGCCCCCCGTCCCCATTTGGAGTTTTGGCGTTGGACAGACTGAGTGAAGCCTTCTGCATAGTGTTTTCTCTCTCTCTCTCTCTCTCTCTCTCTCTCTCTCTCTCTCTCTTTCTCTCTCTCTCTCTCTCTCTCTCTCTCTCTCTCTCTCTCTCTCTCTCTCTCTCTCTCTCTCTCTCTCTCTCGTTGGCTTTTGATTGTGGACGTGTAATTTTTCTCCCCACTTTTGTCTTCTCCTTTTCTCAAGAAACCCACATTAAGACATGGTACCTGAACAACACTATTCCAATGTATACGCAGTGCCGGTATTGTAGCATCGATGTATTTTGGTGTTGTTGTTTGTCATTCATGACTCTGCTGTATGGTACTCTGAGTGTGCACTTTTTATACCATAATCTATATCTTCTCCCTTCGAAGTTTTTTTTTCGTGAGTTTATACAACTTGGTGGCATTGCAGAATCGCATTTTAAAGTCAATATCTTTGAATGGTAACGAATATTTTAGTAAGTCATTCAAATATAATGAACATAGATAAAGTTTTTTGTCATTCAGACATTCCCACCGCCACATTGTGCCCCCAGGGGACACGTGAACAGACAGGAAGGAGGGGCGCCCTCCGCCCTCAGGAGCACCAACTCATGCACTGCCTTTCTCTGCCCACAGTGAACCACACTCGCGTTTCTATGCGGCCCAGATCGTGCTAGCGTTCGAATACCTTCACTACCTAGATCTCATATACAGAGATCTTAAGCCAGAGAATCTACTTATAGACAGTCTAGGGTACCTTAAGGTGAGGGTATGGATGAGCATTTTTAAGTAGTTTGGTCGAGGTTGTGTTGGAAGGTGAGTCGAGTTTGTGTTACGAGGAAATTTTCTTTGTGTATTGGTACAATTGGCATCGCATATGATCTTCTCTGTATACGTTGGTAAGTCTTGGTTATATATATTTTTCTTTTCCTTTCGCTGTTCAAGAAAAGTGAAAAGAGTTGTGTTGTTTCTCTTCGTCATCCTCAGCTGTGGTAAGATGTGTGCATCAATCGTCATTGAACTGACTTTGTGACAATCAGTGTTTCCTGTTGACGAAAAATAATATTCACATCCTCAAAAATATATGCTTACACTTACTATTAATGCTTTATTCATACATAGAATTCCCTCCCTTGTAAAACCGTCTTCGGATTTCGGGTAACGTGTGTCCTTGGCGATTGCAGGTGACAGACTTCGGGTTCGCGAAGCGGGTGAAGGGGCGGACGTGGACGCTGTGTGGCACGCCCGAATACCTCGCTCCGGAGATCATCCTTTCCAAGGTAAGGCGTCCCTCGTGGAGCTGGTGGGCTCGTCCTGCCGCCCTCCGTAGCGCGGGAGAATGAAGGAAGAGTAAAAGGCCTTTTTGAAAATATTTTGTGTAAGAGTTTCATCGCGGGTTTGTGGTTGTTAAGTGGGGAAAAGGTCTTGGGACAGCGTGACTTAAGTCCTCGCTCAGTATATTTCTTTTGTTTCAGATTTATTGATTTTTAACCTTTAAAGTTCGATTTCTTTTCATCGGTCACACCCGTCATGCATTTACTCCATTTAGGAATGTGCTGTACCTCGTCGTGACTCTGAATCAATTCAGGACACGGATTGATTTTACGTTATACCAGTATGAATAAATCTAGGGGCAAGGGCGCCGCGTTTCACTATATCGGCTCTGAGCCACGTGATCAACCGCCTTGCGTCAGACGTCGTGCGGGGTCCCCCCCCCTCCCTTTCTTCCTTCCTTCCTTCCTTCCTTCCTTCCTTCCTTCTTCCTTCCTTCCTTCCTTCTTCCTTCCTTCCTTCCTTCCTTCCTTCTTCCTTCCTTCCTTCCTTCTTCCTTCCTTCCTTCCTTCCTTCCTTCCTTCTTCCTTCCTTCCTTCTTCCTTCCTTCCTTCCTTCCTTCCTTCTTCCTTCCTTCCTTCCTTCTTCCTTCCTTCCTTCCTTCCTTCCTTCTTCCTTCCTTCCTTCTTCCTTCCTTCCTTCCTTCTTCCTTCCTTCCTTCTTCCTTCCTTCCTTCTTCCTTCCTTCCTTCCTTCTTCCTTCCTTCCTTCCTTCTTCCTTCCTTCCTTCTTCCTTCCTTCCTTCCTTCCTTCCTTCTTCCTTCCTTCCTTCTTCCTTCCTTCCTTCCTTCCTTCCTTCCTTCCTTCCTTCCTTCTTCCTTCCTTCCTTCCTTCCTTCCTTCCTTCTTCCTTCCTTCCTTCCTTCCTTCCTTCTTCCTTCCTTCCTTCCTTCCTTCCTTCTTCCTTCCTTCCTTCCTTCCTTCTTCCTTCCTTCCTTCCTTCCTTCTTCCTTCCTTCCTTCCTTCTTCCTTCCTTCCTTCTTCCTTCCTTCCTTCCCTCCTTCCCTCCTTCCCTCCTTCTCTCCTTCCCTCCTTCCCTCCTTCCTTCCCTCCTTCCTTCCCTCCTTCCCTCCTTCCCTCCTTCCTTCCCTCCTTCCTTCCTCCTTCCCTCCTTCCCTCCTTCCCTCCTTCCCTCCTTCCTTCCTCCTTCCTTCCTTCCCTCCTTCCCTCCTTCCCTCCTTCCCTCCTTCCTTCCTCCTTCCTTCCTTCCTTCTTCCTTCCTTCCTTCTTCCTTCCTTCCTTCCTTCCTTCCTTCTTCCTTCCTTCCTTCCTTCTTCCTTCCTTCCTTCTTCCTTCCTTCCTTCCTTCCTTCCTTCTTCCTTCCTTCCTTCTTCCTTCCTTCCTTCCTTCTTCCTTCCTTCCTTCTTCCTTCCTTCCTTCCCTCCTTCCTTCCCTCCTTCCTTCCTCCTTCCTTCCTTCCTTCCTTCCTTCCTTCTTCCTTCCTTCCTTCCTTCCTTCCTTCCTTCCTTCTTCCTTCCTTCCTTCCTTCTTCCTTCCTTCCTTCTTCCTTCCTTCCTTCCTCCTTCCTTCCTTCCTTCTTCCTTCCTTCCTTCTTCCTTCCTTCCTTCTTCCTTCCTTCCTTCTTCCTTCCTTCCTTCCTTCCTTCCTTCCCTCCTTCCCTCCTTCCCTCCTTCCTTCCCTCCTTCCTTCCTCCTTCCTTCCTTCCTTCCTTCTTCCTTCCTTCCTTCCTTCCTTCTTCCTTCCTTCCTTCTTCCTTCCTTCCTTCTTCCTTCCTTCCTTCCCTCCTTCCCTCCTTCCCTCCTTCCTTCCTCCTTCCCTCCTTCCTTCCTCCTTCCCTCCTTCCCTCCTTCCTTCCCTCCTTCCCTCCTTCCTTCCCTCCTTCCCTCCTTCCCTCCTTCCTTCCCTCCTTCCTTCCTCCTTCCCTCCTTCCCTCCTTCCCTCCTTCCCTCCTTCCCTCCTTCCTTCCCTCCTTCCTTCTCTCCATCCCTCCTTCCCTCCTTCCCTCCTTCCTTCCGACCTTCCTTCCCTCTTTCCCTCCTTCCCTCCTTCCCTCCTTCCCTCCTTCCTTCCCTCCTTCCCTCCTTCCTTCCTCCTTCCTTCCTTCCTTCCTTCTTCCTTCCTTCCTTCCTTCCTCCTTCCCTCCTTCCCTCCTTCCCTCCTTCCTTCCTCCTTCCTTCCTTCCTTCCTTCTTCCTTCCTTCCTTCCTTCCTTCCTTCTTCCTTCCTTCCTTCCTTCCCTCCTTCCCTCCTTCCTTCCCTCCTTCCTTCCCTCCTTCCCTCCTTCCTTCCCTCCTTCCCTCCTTCCTTCCCTCCTTCCCTCCTTCCCTCCTTCCTTCCTCCTTCCTTCCTTCCTTCCTTCCTTCATCCCTCCCCCCCCCTCCCTTTCTTCCTTCCTTCCTTCCTTCCTTCCTTCCTTCCTTCCCTCCTTCCTTCCCTCCTTCCTTCCCTCCTTCCTTCCCTCCTTCCCTCCTTCCTTCCTCCTCTCCTAGTCTCTCCCCGGTTCTTGCTAGATGCGGTATGGTGTGACGAGGAGGGGGGGGGAGCTTAAGGGGCAGTGACGTCATGGAGAATACCAGTGGCTGCTATTTTTTCACGGAATTATCGCCTCGCATCAGTCAAGGTTATTTTGATCACGGAGAGAATTTATGATTTCTATTACTTTTTTTTTATTTTAGATTTTTTTTTTTTATTCTATATGTCTGTCAGGAAGCCCTCAGGAATGTCCGTAAGACAGCGGGAAGATATTTCGTCCGTCGGAATGCGGTAACTAGAGCGATGACGTCAGAATTACGTCACGCGCGGTCTCGCACCCTCGTGTCGCCCGAGCTTTTTTCTTCTTTTTTTTTTTTATTCATCCGGCTTCTTCCATTCAATATCTGTAAGGACGACATTGGTGAAATTGTGCTCTCCCTCCCTCTCCTACTCCTTCGCCCTCTTCCACCCCCGCCCTTGCCAGTTCTCCCGTCTTTTGTCCCCTCCGCTACTCCTTCTGCTCCGCGAACTCTCATCCTCGCCCTCCGCACTTCCCCTCGTGACGGAGGATCGCGTCTCGCATTCAGAACGTGAATGGTAAATGCGTGTGTGATGGGGGGAGGGGAGGGGGGTGGCAGATTTCGAAGTCATTGTTGTTTTTACTACGTCAAGTTGGCTGATGGCTGATGAATGAGAGGAAATGAAATAGCACGGCTATGTAGAGGAAAGTAAAATAAAGATCCTGATATTGCTTAGAGTGGAGATATTGACCTGCTGGTACAGAGCATCGTGTGCGATATATGTATGTGCGCACTTGTTTATTGTACTTTATTCATTCATTTGTAATTTATTCAATATGTGTGTGTGTTTGTGTGTGTATGTGTGCGTGCGTGCGTGCGTGCGTGCGTGCGTGCGCGCGCTTATTCACCACACATGTGCACTATTGGTGTGTGCAAGGATGCATGTGTAGAAGTGGATGGTATGACTGTATGTGTATATTGTATCTTTCTGATTGTTGGAAATGAGATTCTACAGTATATCACATGAACTAGAATTAATTTGTTTCATTGTGCCATTATTTTAGTTTCTTATCTATTTATTGTATTGTTGCGAAGAACTTTACTCCATATGATCAGTTTGCATGTATATAACTAACCTAAGCCCTGGCACAGGTTCTAAAGGCATCTGTCATTTCCAGGGTTACAACAAGGCTGTGGACTGGTGGGCGCTGGGTGTGCTGGTGTATGAAATGGCCGCTGGGTACCCTCCCTTCTTTGCTGACCAGCCCATACAGATTTACGAGAAGATTGTATCTGGAAAGGTAAGTTGTAAGAGTGGTGGCACTGCTTTGGAAGACCCAAGTCTTTTTTTTGTGTGTGTGGGGGGGGGGGGAGCGTGTGTGTGTGATTTGTGCCAGATTCATGGGTTAACAGTATGGTTTGGAGTCATTGAAGTTTTTTTTAGTAAATGTTTAGTAAATATTTAATAATCTTTTGTTGGCATTTCATTCACACATAATTGATGTTATTTTTTATTGTGATGCCAAGAGCTTTATTTTTAAGGGAAAAGAATTATGTATTAGTAATGTTTTCATCATGTAGACATATTGTAGAGAGTAAATATTTGTACTACTTCAATCAGTAGAATCAAAGCATTATTATGATACTTCATGTTGAATGTGATTATGTAATATCTTCATTTACTGAAAAGTTTAATTTCTTGTTGCTATTAGCATGAGTGATTTATTAACATTATATTATTATGAAGAAGCCATAAATTATGTAATATATCTTTCTAGTGTCAGACATTTATAATTCCATATTTTTTACAACCTAAATAGGCTTGATGTAATTGCTAGTGTGTGTGCGTGTGTGCGTGTGTGCGTGCGTGTAGCACTTACAGAACAATGATGAAAAAATACTTTTATCTGCTTATTATTTCACTACAATTTATGAAAGCCTGCAAGGTAATTGTGGCTTCCTGATTAGTAATGATAGGAATAACACTGTTTTTTGCACCTGTAGGTGAGGTTCCCAGGCCACTTCTCCTCAGACCTGAAGGATCTCTTGAGGAACCTGCTGCAGGTGGATCTCACCAAGCGCTACGGCAACTTGAAGAATGCCGTCAACGATATTAAGAATCACAAGTGGTTCGCATCAACAGACTGGATTGCAGTATACCAGAAGAAGGTTGGTGTTGTGAATAAGTTTTGATAGATATTTTACCCTCTTTTCAAGTAGGTGACTTTTTTTTTTTTTTTTTAAGCATACTTTAGGTGTATTTTTTGTGTATTAATTTTAGGAATGTTGCCTGCACAGTAATCCTCTTTGTAAAACACGTGTTCTGTTGCTTTTTTAACCCACCTTTTTAAGAGAATGTTATTTATTTATTTATTTTTTAGCTTCTTTTTGGTGAATGCAGTAATTCTTGTTTTGCTAATTAATATGAATGCATGCATTGCTAATTGCTATTAACTATGTCATATATAGAGCTTTGATATAGGCAAGGGATGGTGTAGGGAGGACAGATCCCTGTTTCAAGTTTGCCAAATACCACCTATTGTAGATTTCTAATTGAATGTTACCAAGAAAGTACTAGCTTAGTGCATTAATACCACACACATAAGTTTCTGCATGTGATTCTTGGCATTTGTTTGAATAACAACTAAAACTAGCACCTCTGTTTGGCTTTAATTCACAAACTTCCCAAAGTAGATTTACTTTGAGTTGCATCTAACATGTTTTCTCATATTTTGAGCTTACCAGTTGTATTCTTTTTAATTTTTTTAAAGAAGATATAAGAATATGAGTTGTATTTTGCTTTAATGTCAAAAGATTTTGCTTTTGACATTATATGGTTTGTCATCTGCTTGGAAATAAATCAGCGAGTAATTAAATAGCTTAATAGATAATTGAAAAGATACTAACTGAAAGCTCAAAGTAAGTTTCATTGGCCAGAGAGCTAATGTAGACATTGCATGTGACCCCTCTTGCTTCCTTACACTAGACGCCAGCTCCACTGATCCCCAAGCTAAAGAATGCAGGGGATACTACCCAGTTCCCTCAGTATGAGGAGAGCCGAACCACCTTTCGCAAGGCTGCAGAGGACCTCTTCACCAGGGAGTTTAGTGATTTTTAGATGGTTTGTACACATAGCAGCTGTGTGCTGATATTTTCCCTTTTTTTTTTGCCTTTTTATGTCTTCCTCTTTGTTTATTTGGTACATTAGATTTGTTACATTTTGTTTAACTGGTTTTAGTTATCATTCTTGTAAGTACAAAAATAGTAATGTTCATTTAATCAGTGATATTGTGTTTTGTATTATCTTACCTTTGAGAGTAGAAGTAGTTCATATTTTCTCAAGACATAATCATTAGTTTATTATTTTCTCAAGACCCAAACATTATATTAATGAAAGCTGGAAATGTGTGACTGATGCACTCTTGCTTTTGCAGGTTGAAGCTCCATTTATTCCCAAGTGCAAAGGCCCAGGAGACACCAGCAACTTTGATGACTACGAGGAGGAAGCTCTTCGTATTTCTTCTACGGAAAAATGTGCCAAGGAGTTTGCTGAGTTCTAGAGGCCTTTTGCAGTGTCTAGAGGCTAAGCTGACTCCCTGTGTCTGTGTACAAGTTTAGTACTCCCCTCCAGAGACCCCAGTGCATGTGCGTTGCTGTATACATGAGGCTGTGTGCGCACCATTGTGTGCCATGCAGTCAGGCCTCAGGCAAGCAGTGGGCTAAGAAATAATGCAGCAGGTGCTCAGTTGTGGGAGAAGCTGTTTACTTGGTGGCTCACACACATGCAGACAGTGCCAGAGAGCCCAGGCTGTGATGGCAGATGTGCTACAGATCAGAATGGTGATGTGGCATAGGAAGCCGCCAAGGTCAGGATTCTTCAGTGTCACTTGAAATCAGCTTGATAAGGCAATATGAACAAACAGCTTAATGTTTTTATTATTATTATTATGATCTTTCCCATTATTACCATTGTCGTTTTTATTTTCATCGTTAAGGTGAAAGAATACCTCTGTGTCAATCCGAAGAAATATAGCCACTTGATTTCCTAGAAAGCAAGTTGACGTCAAGTAACATTCAAGATCCGGTTTTGCCTTTTGTGTTGATGTGTGCCACCTCAGGAAGATTGCCAGACAGAGGCTGTCACGTGATGGCGGGTAAATGAATGGCTTACATTGTGGTCATGGGTGCAAGTGCCATTTTTAGCAAATAAGGTGGCGTCTGTGAGGAAGTGTGCCGCCACAAGCCAGCCACTTGGGGTCTGGGAGCTAACCTAGTCATGTGGTGAGTGGGGGGTTGGTGGGCTTGTCGGGAAGAACACCACTAAAAGAACGGAGACATACAGATGGACTGGAGGTTGCACACATGGTGAACATTTACTGCAGTGAGCTGAATATCGGTCGGTGCTTTGGAGTAGCATTCAGAGTCCCCCCCTCCCCCTGTCTACTCTCTGTAGTGTTGGGGACGTACCAGGAGCCTTCAAGGATTGCCGTTCATGATCTTTCAGTGCAGGACGTATGCAACACCTTCAGCTTGAGTATAAAAGTAGGAGTGATAATTTTTTCATCAGACTTTTTTTTTTTTCTTCTTTTTTTCTTATCCATAACACATAACAATTAGTATACAAAATAGTGATCATCTAATAATGTTTCCTACAGCGGCAAAATGATGCACAACACTGTGAAATTATTCAAAAGGAAAATATGATAACAAGTATAAATAATCAAAACATATCCTTGAGCTTAAATAAAAAAAGATAAGCGAAGACAAAAAGCCAGAGAATCAAGATGTAGTTGAGTTCCCCTGAAGGAGTGCCTGAAGGGGCATCCTGCGCTAACTTCCACCGTCTGTCTCCCTGAGCATCCCATTGGCCGTCAACGCAATCGACTGCAGCTTTGTTTACTACGCATGGTCGATGCCCCAGATTAACTATGCCAAAATGCAGCAGACTCTCATCACACATTGTAGATTACATAGTTCACTTATATGGGTTCAACAGAGTTTTTATGATTTAATACAGAAATGACAAAAAAAGGCTAGATTTCCCCAAGTTGCATGTATGTAGGTATGTATCAAAGTTAATAATATTTAAAAAAATATGTCCACGTGTGCAAAGTTGTAGAATACATATATGTTGGATTAGTGTTTCTATGCGATTCACATTGATGTGATAAATTTGAAGGATGTGTGATGGCTTCTTTTCATCCATTTCAAAATGAAAAACTAGTTAGGCTTGTATAAATTAGATTTTGTGAACTAATCTTTTCTTTTAACTGCCAGTGGGAATGAGTGGTTAGCAAATGCCTAAAGTCTGAGAGCAAATATTTTTTCCTCTCTTCCTTCTTGTGAAGTCTTGAGCTATTCAATACTGTAAGACTCTATGAGTCCTAAGGCACTTTGTAAAAAAAAGAAAAAAATATTATTTGTCTATTTTCCTGCATTTTAGAGTCTATTGTAATAATTATGATAATTATCATTATTATTAATTAGTTTTGTGTTACTATGGTCTGGCGCTCTTGTTTATGTACCACACTAACCGTAGAGGATTTCTGTTAAGAAGTTACCCGAGAGCGTCTCATTTCTTTATAGTGCAATATTTTGATGAAAGTGAGAAAGGTACCCTGGCGTCACTGTACTTTGCAATGTTACAAGAATATGCAGCTCCAAGGTTTTCTGTCTCATATGTATATATATAAACTACAGGCTATTCGCTGCCCCAGTCATCTCTTCATGCTGAGATGAGGTTGAGTTTTGACGTCATGCAGTGGTTGGCAGAAGGAAGCTTTTTACTTGAGAGATGTTGTGCAGGTTCTCCAGTTAGTGTGAAAAGTGTGCAGCATGTTGAAGGATATAGAGTGCCAGCCATACGGAAGTTTGCATTTTATTGTTCATATGATTTTTATTTATAGTCATTTTTTTATTATTACATTTGTTTTATTATTTGTTGCCACGGAATTGGAGGAGAAAAAAAAAAAGATCTTGTGTTGGTACTTTTTTCCCCTCTTGTATTATATCCATTTTGCTTGGAGCAGAATGGCAAATAGAATATCCTGTTATCATCTGGGTTATGTGACCTTTGTATAAAGCATGGGTTATAAGGAGGATTACAATTGAAAGGTGGCCCAAAAAAATGTAACAAAATTTTTGGTTTTTCTCATAATCTTTTATTTTATTTTGTATAAAGGAAATAAACACTGCTCAATGGTGGAAGTTCTTGATGTGTTGATGTTCTATTCAAGAATTTTTGTGGCAGGCACTTCTGTATACTGATTTTTGTAACTGTCATTTCTGTAATTATAAACTTTACCCAGTGTGGAACGAGGAAGGCTGATGATGCCTGCAATTAGTTCCTTTTTATAGTGATGGTGTATTAGTAGGTCATGATCATGTACCAGTTTTAAAGGTAAGACTCAAGTCACTGTATAATTTTGCTGAGTCTGTTAGTATTTGTAGGTTTGAAGTACGTTATTTTGTTTACCGAGTACCTCATAGGAAAATGAATTTTAAGCTTTTTATTTTTTATTTTCTTGACACCACTGAGCTACTGAAATTGGAGTAACAGCAGAGAGTGATATGATGACCACTGGACACAGTCTTTTTTTTTTGTTTGTTTTTTTTTTTGTTTTTGTTTTTTTTTAATCTTTTCTTTAAACTTAAGACTGTACTCAGGCCACATTGATTAGGTGAGTGATCCATATCAGAGCAGAGAAAGAAGGATGAGTAAATTGTATGTTGAATATATTTTGAGTGTTTAAAAGAAAAAAAAAACAAAAAAAAAAATTAAACAGTAATACATGGTGCTATGTATTACCCCCTCTGTGAAGAGTTACACTAAGACTTCCCACATATTGTACTTGGGTCTGTATAATGTAGTCATCACAGGAACCAGGTGCAGGGACTGGAACTGACATCTTTCTTTTGTGGCCGTGCGCATCCATGCTTACAGTAGAGGTAGTGAATATTAACCCCCTATCATGATACAACTTTCAGATTTTAACAAGCCTCAGAACTAACAGTGATAATTTTCCAGTTCTTTATTATTATTATTATTTGTCCAAGTACATATAAATTCAAAAAAAAAAAAAAGAAGAGTGAATAGCAACTCAAACATCAAAAATCCAGTTGCTAATATGCTTATTTTTTTCCCCCATTTTTTTCTTCTTCACAGATGTTACCTGACTTACCAATACAGGTAGAAAATAAGATTATTCTATATATATATATATTTCTTGAGTTTAGAAAAGAATAATAATATTTATTTATCATGAGCTTCAATACGTTTGAAGGATATAGAGTGGATGATAACTTAGGTCAAATGCAGCCTCGTCAGTAAGTGAACATTTTGAGCACAAATAAGGTTGTTCCCGAAGTAACCTAACGGCAGTAGTGGGATTCTTAGATGCGACGAATTGCCAAGGTGACTGGCATATAAGCTATGGCATGTTATGCTGTGAGACCAAAGCTAAAAAGGTTGGCTGGTTCCTTTCTGTAAGCGCCCCTCCCCCCCTCCAAAGGTAAGCAATGGAAATATTTAAAAGTATATATATATATAATTATTTTTAAAAATTAAAAAAAAAAAGAACCACCCTTCTCATATATGTAAAGGCTCGCATTCCAGGTGTTGTCTTTGGAAAAAAAAATGAATATTATGATTTTGATGCCCATTACTGCTCGTGATTGCTGCTTGCACTTTCAGAAGCATATGTCAGGACATGCCACAATATGTTACGACATTTGTTAAAGTGTATTACTTGGAAAAAAAAAAAAAGGTAAAAATTTGTCAGGAGTTCTGGCAGTCTAAAAACGTGATGGCAATTTGCTTTCTTTTGATTCTTATTATTCTTTCTTTTCCCTGTACAAAATTACCATAATTTCCCGTATCTTATAGTTCTTAAAGTATCTTTGTTTGTTTCAAGGATTGATTGATAGATAAATCCTAAGTTTCTGCAGCAATGTAAGTTCAAATTGAGTTATATATGTAATCTAAGCAGTTGGCTGCAGCCTACAGAGATGATGCGCTAAATACATTCCGCAAATTGAGCCAGAGCAACCTGGGCATGTGATTTTTTTTTCTTTCTTTTATTCTCTCGGATACCTTTTGTATATTGTTCCCTAAATTACCCAAAGACTGTATGAAGCTCATGATTAATGTACTATGAGTAACTGTGTAATTGTGATCAGTTTCTAAAACATTTCTCGGGCAACGTTTGACCAAAAAGTGACAAAGTGAATTTCTTCTGACCTTCTGCATGTCCCCGAGTGGAGGAGCTGCAAGGCATCTCTCTCTATGGCAGAGGAACCTCAAGGTCTAGATTTATGCTAGTCACTGCTGAGTTTTAACACATTTTGGTAAAATTCACATATGCCCAAGTAGCCCTCTGCAAGCTGCGGTGAAAGGAAGTGGTGATTGTTGAAGAATTACGATAGTAATACAATGATTATGAGGAGAGTGGACAAACAAAACAGACTGACGTGCGTTAGTGGGTTCCTTGATGTTGACTGTATGAAATCCCCCGCTCCCCCATACAAGCCACCTGCACACGGTCCCCTTAGAAACTCACAGAAATATCTTCTTGTCATGGGCTACTTGCTGTATGGTGTGTGATTATAGCATTAATTCATCATCTTCCCTAATGATTGTTACAATATATATGATATACATCTCAGAACTGCTAGTATCTATTTTTCTTAATCTCTAACGTGCATTAGTATGTATGTTTACGTGTGTATGTGTGCCCTATGGAATATGTTTGTATGGACACTGTGGGAGGGACCCTGTTTAGGCAGCTTAAACCAGACTATATCCCTACTGAGTATTTAATCTATGTTCAGTGTTCATAGTCCGATTGCATTGAGTTCATATTTTGTGATTTGTAGTTGCCAATTTTGAATAAGACGTTAATAAATGAAACATGTACTAAGA